ACACTGTATTATTTGTTGAAACTGTACTTCCGATTTGATTTGAAACTGTCTCATTGCTATATGTTTATCAATAAAACTGTAGAAAAAAAAAGAGGACATTGATAAACAAAAATAGAGATTAGAAAAATGACAGATGCCTTGAATGAGCAATACAGAAAAGAAATAGATCACATGAAGCAGAGTCAAAGAGATATAGAGGAACTTAAAATCTCAATCACAAGCTTGCAAAACTGTTTGAGTGAAATTGAATACAGTTTCAGATCTTGGTGGCTGCTCCTGGTTGAGGGTTGTCCGCACCTAAGACAGGAAGATGGTGACCGCAAAGAAGATGAAAAAATTTCTGGAGTTCATCAACTCTAGGCTCCAACTTGTTATGAAAAGTGGAAAATATGTGCTCGGGTACAAGCAGACCCTGAAGATGATCAGACAGGGCAAAGCGAAATTGGGCATTCTTGCCAACAACTGCCCAGCCTTGAAGAAATCTGAAATAGAGTACTATGCTATATTTGCGAAAACTGGTGTCCACCACTATAGTGACAATAATATCAAACTGGGCACAGCATGTGGAAAATACTACAGAGTATGCATACTGGCATACTCTGATCATTGATCCAGGTAATTCTGATATCATTAGAAGTATGTGAGAACAGACCAGTGAAAAATAAACCAAGCAGAATTTTTCATTAATAAAAAAAGAAGATGCTTGTGCAGGTACTGAAAAGATAAGAAAAGATCCATTAAAAACAACTAGAATGCAGGAAAAAATAATAAATCACTTGTAAGACGATGCAAAGATGAACAATGTGAGACTAATAGGTATCAATGAGAAGGAAGTAGTCAATACAAAAGACATTAAAAGAATACTGGCAGAAGTAATATCAGAAAACTTCCCAAATATGAGGAAACAATCTGACAATCAGGTAACCGAAGCATACAGAATGCAAATAAACCTCAACTGGATTAAAAGCACACCAACACATATCATAGTCAAATCCCAAAAATCCATCACAATAATAGTGTTTTTTTTTTCTTTTCCGGAATGCCTTCAAGGCATGACTGGCTGTCTTGTGTTGTGGGGATGGAACCAAAGCAACCGGAGCCTGACTGCTTTGTTGAAGCAGCCACTTAAAGAACTGAGCTACGGGGCAGGCCCCCCACAATAATAATAAGAAGATCACGTTCAAAAGAAAACCCATCAGAATTATGGCTGACTTCTCTTCACAAACCATAAAAGCAAGAAGAGCATGGAGCAGAGTACTTCAATTCCTCCATGACAACAAATTCCAGCCCAATACTGTACCCTGCAAAACTCTTTCAAGTTTCATGGAGAAGTGAAATACTTCCATGAAAAAGAACAACTAAAGAATTTCATGATTACAAAGCCAACCCTACACAGGCTCCTGAAAGATGTTCTAGAGAAGGATGAAAATGATCAGAACTCCACGAATGAGATCAGAAGCAAGAAACAAAATTGGGCAAACAATTAAGCACAGTAGAAAAACGAGTAAATAACAACAGGTAATTAATGTGTCAATCATAATTCAAAATATGTCAATTCTAACCATCAATGTTAATGGAGTCTATTCACCAATTAACAGAAATACACTGACAGAGTGGATTAGGAGACAAAATTCAACAATATATTGTATACAAGAAACATATTTAACTCATAAAGATATTCATAGGTTGAAAGTCAAAGGATGCAAAACAAAAATACATGCCCCAGCAATTCAGAAAAAAGCAAGGGTAGCAATCCTATTCTCAGACAGTCTCAACTTCAAACCAAGAATGATTAAGCAAAATAAAGAAGGCCACTATATACTGACTAGGGGAAAATATAAGAGGAAGAGGAAACACTCATAAATATGTATGCATCAAACACGGGTGCACAAAACTATATAAAGCAAATCTTAATGGACATGAAAAATCTAATATCCAGTATCACAAGCTTAACACTCTCTTATCCCAAAAAGATAGGTCAACCAGACAAAAAAAATTAGCAACGAAATTACAGAACTGAACCACAGCTTGAAACAAATGAACTTGGGGGTCATATGCAGAGTGTTCAACCCAAAAACAGCTGAACATACATTTTTCTCAGATGCACATGGGTCATTTTCTCAGAGACTACATACTGATCCATAGGTCATGTTTAAATATGTGCAAGAAAACAGAAATTATCCCATGCACATTATCTGACCACAGTGAAATGAAACTGGAAATATATGACAGGAAAAAACAGAATAAAACCATAAATACATGGAAATTACACAATACTCTACTCAGCTAACAGGGGCTGGCAAGATAGCTCAGTGGTCTAAGGCGCCTGCTTAGGCAAGCATACAGGGACCTCAGTTCTATCCCCAGCACCACATGCCATGCCAGCTCCGCCCCTAGGGTGGGCTGAGCTGACCATAAAAGAAAAAAATAAAGGAAACATTAAAAAAAAATCTTTCTACTCAGCTCCCAATGGATCATGCATGAAATTAAACAAGAAATTCAGCAATATCTACAACTCAATGAAAATTCAAGCACAATTTATCGGAATTTATGGCATATATGAAATCAGTTCTCAGAGGGAAATTCATAGCTGTGAACTCACACATGAGGAAAACCGAATGGGAACAAATAAATAACCTAATGCTGCACCTCCAACAACTAGAAAAGGAAGAGCAACCAAAACCAGGGGCCAAAAACAGGAAGAAATCATGAAGATTAGAGCAGAAATTAATTCAATTGACAGGAAGAAAGCAATTCAAAGAATTAACAAAACAAAAAGCTTGTTCTTTGAAAGATTAAATAAAGTCCATCAGCCCCTAGCTAACCTCATGAAAAAGAGGAAAGAAAAAATTCAAATACAAGCAATAAAGAAAGAAAATGGGGCAATTACCACAGACACAGTGGAAACTCAGAAGATTATCAATAGTTACTTTGAGAATCTTTACTCTCACAAAATAGAACACACAGACAAAATGGACAGATTCCTAGAAAGGTACAAATTACCA